CACGTGCTTATGATATATTCAATAAAAAAAAAAAAAAAAAAAAAAAAAAAAAAAGTCTTTCAAAATAAATGTGCAGGTGGATTCTTGGTTCCCTCTCGCCGAGTGCTTAATGGTCTCCCTATGTGCTCACCTCTATATTTGCCTGAATAAATCCAGGCAAATACACTTTTTATCCTTCCAGGGGCTCCTGAGGGGCTCTGACGTCACGACATTGCACTGGAGAGGCTCGGTGATCTGAATACAGACACAGGTAGACAGCACTGCAGGAACAGAGGCAGAGCACATTTATGCTGGACTACAATTGTATACTACTGTGCAACTGGCAGCAATAAACCCCCTTTTTGCACAAGGATAAGACACTATGGTCTGTTTGTCTTCCTTTCTCAATTGAACAACACCCTTTGAGCTGATATAAGGAGGACTGGAAAAGGAAACAGCCCCAGGAGGGGAATTGGGAGATCCTCAGAGAGATGGTCAGTATACCCACTCATGAGCAGCTACAGGAGAACAAATATAAATCCACATCCACCTTCTGAGATAATTCAAGAGCATCATTCCATCCCATCTATCCTGGAAGGATAAAAAGTGTATTTGCCTGGATTTATTCAGGCAAATATAGAGGTGAGCACATAGGGAGACCATTAAGCACTCGGCGAGAGGGAACCAAGAATCCACCTGCACATTTATTTTGAAAGACTTTTTTTTTTTTTTTTTTTTTTTTTTTTTTTTATTGAATATATCATAAGCACGTGCACATAATATATATGTGTTTGCACAATATAAATATAAGGATCACAGTAGAATAGAGGAGTATTTCTGATTTGTATATCACTGTACTTTAATAGGCACTATCACCTTAGGATTATCAGTTATTAATGTCACTTGCATGAAGATTAATATTCACAATGATGTTTTGAGTCACTAGTAATAATTGTTTGATACATGCAGTATCTTGAAAGCTATTCATTAGCACTTTGAAAGTATAAGATATACATATTGGTACATGGGAGCGCGGCACTATCTATTTTGAAAATAGGGAAAATGGCTAACTGGGCCCAGTTTGGACATTTTCACTTAGGGGTGTACTCACTTTTGTTGCCAGCAGTTTAGACATTAATGGCTGTGTGTTGAGTTATTTTGAGGGGACAGAAAATTTACACTGTTATACAAGCTGTACACTCACTACTTTTACATTGTAGCAAAATGTAATTTCTTCAGTGTTGTCACATGAAAAGAGAATAAAATATTAAAAAATGTGAGAGGTGTACTCACTTCTGTGTGTGTGAATGTATATGTGTATATATTAGTGAAGAAAATAAGTATTTGATCCCCTGCTGATTTTGAATGTTTGCCCACTCACAAAGACATGATCAAGCTAAAAATCGAATGGTAGGTGTATTGTAACACTGAGACAGAATAGCAACAAAACATTCAAAAGAAATGCATGACTAACAAATTATGCACTGATTTGCATGTTCATGAGAGAAATAAGTATTTGATCCCCTTCACAAAATATATATATATATATATATATATATATATATATATATATATATATATATATTTTATAGTACAGGAACACACTTTGCAACATAGGATCATTCACCTATATGTGTTTATTTTATTTCTTGTTTGTAGTAGCCAAGAAGCCATTTTTTTGGGGCATATCCAATAACTGAGGCCATTTGATCCCTCCTAGAATAATGTTGGGTTCTTACACAGTACATATGAGGCATAGATGTCTTTTCAGTGTGTTGGAAATACCATTAATACAGTAATACATTGAACGATCAGACACTGTGCACTTTAGATGTCTTCCTGAGACATCATGGAAGTGTAACGTTGTCTAATGCAGCTTCCTCTACAATGAATAGGGAATATATTTTAAAAATGCATGATGTGGTTTCATTATTAAAGGCAGAATTTTATTAGTGCTGGACTGAGTGGTGTTTGGTCTGCATAAATAATGGATCTCTAAAAGGGCAGTTACCTCAATGTCAGTTTTTTAACTGTTCTTTTTTACCAGCACTAACCTCAAACAACCTCCATGAACAAAGGCACCTACTCCATAGCAAAACAGAGATGAACTGTAGTCTAAGTCTTCTGGGGTATTCTAAGGTCTCAGACTCCTGAAACCTTATTTTTGCAGATCTTGCACAAAACACAACTGTCTAGGCATAATTTGAAGAAGCTCTGCAGCATTTTCTATAAAGAGCATTCACACTCAGCAATCCAAATACTGCTGGCAATTTTTTTTTCTCACTTTTTTTATTCTTTGCATAAAGTAAGCACCAGGTTTTCTGTATACTTCTTCCTTTTTTTTTTCGTATTTTCTCACATTCAGATCATTTTTGATTTCCTTTAAAGCCCAGTTCACATCTTGCAATATGAGATGACGGGCAGAATGACTGCGATTCTGCCTGAGATCCCAAACTGAGTGGCAATTGTAGCACAATGCACATGCGTTTTGGGTACCATTATCCTTCAATGGCACCCCAAAAACGCAATGTGATTCTGCCACGATTGTCACTCAACAGGATTGTGCATCCAACCGTGCCTTTGCAAATCGTGTGAAGCTTGTCACCCAAAAAGGAGCAGGATCTTCTTTTAGGGCAACAAACGTGCATAGGGCAGCCAATTCAAGTGAATAGGCTGCCCTATGCAATGCACAGAATTGTGTTAAAATTGTAGTGTCAAAATTGCATAGCATGATCGATTTCTGCTACGTGATAATATGAACGGGGCCTAAAGGGTAAGTGTTTTTTTTTTGTTTTTTTTAACTTTTAACAGTGGAAAGGTGACCAAACTCCTGGTCACCCCTCTAGACTCTGTTGCACATAGGGGCCATGATAATCCATTCTCCTGGTATAATGGTCTATACACCTCAATACACAGCCCCAGAGTGAGTATCTATCATAATATTCCCAATGTCAAGCACTCGCTGGTCAGCGCAGTACGTGACCTTACTGAGAAGCGCATCTAAGGCTTCTTCTTCCAGTTGGGTGTCCCAGAAATATGAAGCACTTCTTATTGGTCTTGTGGACCAATGAGCACTTGCCATTGCAAACCTTATGATGGATACTCACTCCAGGCTATATTTTAAGTTCTATAGTATGTGATGCCCCATGCTGCTGGTTTAGCAGGTCAGAGGGGTTGTCAAGGTATTTGGAGCTAGTTCATTTTTTCATTTTATATATTATTTTTTTTTTTTTTTTTTTTTTTTTGTGAGGTGAACTTGCCCTTTTTAAAGTATAACTGAAGGCAGAACGTCTTTCTTTTAGATGGAGTGGGGAGGGATTAGACCACTTGTCAACTTTTTTAGTACTATCTGTCCTCACTGGGGAGATTTACCTTCTCTACTTGTCCTGGTGTCTGTTCTCACTGAAAAGAAAATTCCAAATAGTGAGCAGTCACCATAATAGAAGGTATATCTTCCATGAGTACCCCAGTTCTGGTGACTACCAGGGATGCCCCTGATTTTTTCATTTTGCATTTATGGGACAGGAAGTGAAGGAAAGTCTGCCCAATGGGACACAGATGGCAAAATAAATAATTTTACTATACCCAAAGTGATAAACTAATTTTGCCTTCAGTTTGACTTAAATGAAACTTTATTCTGGCCCCAACATTGCTTCTATTCTCATGCCAAATGATGTGACTATTCTAGACCATCAGGCCTCACAATTGCAAATCTCAGGAAACCTAGTCTGACGTCTTGAAAAATGATCATTCCATATTCAGATTTTTAGTGACATATACAGAACTATCCTAAGTAGTACTGAAGTCATGGCAACATTAATTTATTGACTGATGAGAAGGAATACCTCATGGGAATCTACCCAGGATACCAGAGCTACAAGACAAGAGTCTACTACATAGTGTGTATAGTTCTGTACATTTGAAGACTTGAGGCGTCCTATACTGTGGTGGCCCTAATGTGTCAGTAAAGAGAGTCCAACACTGAATAAACAGCCGAGTATTTCTGGTCCAGCTCAGTGCTTTTCTAGGTTTGACATACAAAGGCTCTTTATGTTATGTTTACAGAATTCGCATCAATAAACAATAAAAAGGATTCATATAGAAGAGTCCTGTAGTGATTACTAAGCCAGTCTTGAATTTTGAGCACAGCTCCTAAAGCAGATTTAAATAAGTTTACATTAGTCAGATGTATATTATTTTAAGTGGATATTAACTGTGCAAGATTTACAAGTCTGCATCCTTGTCAGCAGAAACCTTTTTGCACGAATCATCTCACATGCGGATAGTCTTTGTTCATAATCTGTGGCTTACAGTTCCTAACAATTTAGATGTCTTCAGGATATTCAGACCTTCTATATGATCTCTGCAACTGATGTGAATTGCATACAAGTTCAAGTGAATATTGGTTATCATATACCTCAACTTCAGTGAAAATGTGGCAAATAAGAATTCCTAAAAAAAAATGCTGTGATGTCTAAATACAGATTAAAAGTGGCAATAAGCACAAAACAAAAATGTATATTACAGTTTACCAATTCTTTAAGTCTAGTGGCTGCATTCGGGGTGTTTTTTTAACCTTTTTATGCATAAAGGTAAAAAAAAACACTTGTCTCTTCTCCCCCCCAAATACTCACCTGAGCCCCCTCTCGGTCCATTGATGTGCACAGGAGCCTCGGCGGTCCCGGGTCTCTCTCTGTTCTTTGACAGCAGTAGGAGCCAAGAACTTGCTGCTGTATCTCAGCCAATCACAGCCAGTGAGACAAGAGCGGGGGGCATGACCAAGCTATGGCTAAGTGTCTCTTGAACGCATAGAGCAGGGCTCGGAAACGAGCGCTCACCAGTGCCCCTATAGCAAGCAGCTTGCTATTGGATGCACTAGTCAAGGGGGAGGGGTCAGGGGCACCAGCAGGGGACCCGAGAAGAAGGGTATTTTGAACTGCTGTGTGCAAAACCATTGCACAGAGCAGGTAAGTATAACATGTTTAAGAAAAAAACAAAAAAGTGTGTGTTTGTATAGTATAATAAAGTATTGGGTTGGGACACCCCTCCAAATCATTGGATTCAGATGTTCCAATCCCCTCCATGGCCACAGGTGTATAAAATCAAGCACCTAGGCATGCAGTTTGCTTCTACAAACATTAGTGAAAGAATGGGTCATTCTCAGGAGCTCAGTGAATTCAAGCATGGATAGGTTGCAACCTGTGCAATAGGTCCATCCATGAAATTTCCTTGCTACTAACTATTCCACAGTAATTGGTTAGTGGTATTATAACTAAGTGGAAGCAAATGGGAACAACAGCAATTTAGCCACGAAGTGGTAGGCCATGCAAAGTGACAGAGTGGGGTCAACGCATTCTGAAGCTCAGTGTGCAGAAGTCGCCAACTGTCTGCAGAGTCAATTGCTAAAGACCTCCAAACTTTGTGTGGCCTTCAAATTAGCAGAACAGTGTATAGAGAGCTTCATGGAATGAGTTTCCATGGCTGAGCAGCTGCATCCAAGTCTTACATCACTAAGTTCAATGCAAAGCCTTGGATGCAGTGGTGTGAAGCATGCCACCACTGGACTCTAGAGCAGTGGAGACTTGTTCTCTGGAGTGACAAATCACTCTTCTCTGTCTGACAAGCCGTTGGATGTTTCTGGGTTTGGCTGTTGCCAGGGGAACAGTACTTGCCTGACTGCATTGTGTAAAGTGTGGGGGATGGAGGATTATGATGTGGGTTTTCTTCTTCTTTTTTTCAGAGGTTGGGCTTGGCCACTTAGTTCCAGTGAAGGGAACTCTTGGTTTGTGGGAACAGTTTGGGGATGGTCCCTTCCTGTTCCAACATGCCTGTGCACAAAGCAAGGTCCATAAAGACATGGATGAGCACGTTTGGGGTGGAGGAACTTGACTGGCCTGCAAAGAGTCCTGACCTCAACCCAACAGAACACCTTTGGGATGAATTGGAGCGGAGACTGCGAGCCAGGCCTTCTCGTCCGACATCCATGCCTGATCTCACAAATGGAAGAATGATCGAACATTCCCATAGACACACTCCTAAACCTTGTGGACAGCCTTCCCAGAAGCGTACAAGCTGTTATAGCTGCAAAGGGTGGGCCAACTCAATATTGAACTCTATGGACTAAGAGTGTGATGCGTTTTTAAGGTAATGTGCATGTAAAGGCAGGCGTCCAATTACTTTTGGTTATCTAGTGTATCTACTTTTGTTGTATAGTCGTGTGTGTAATCTCCTAGACTGACCAGCATTTAGTGGGCCACCTCCGACTGCATTAGTTGGTCGTGCAGATATACCGTAGATGGACTTGACTAACAAATTTTGAAGCTAACCATTTTTAAGCAGCTACGGCAAACTTTTTTTTTTTTTTTTTAAATATTAAGGCTTTATATAAACAAATATAAGCTGACCATTGTAAGCACCCTGTCAGTATTAAATGGTTTGCTCATCCCTCTAACTTCCATTTTTGCTGAACAGTTTGGTCTGTTAAAGAGAGTTGAAAAATAACACCAGTGAAAATAAATTAAAAGAAAAATCTAAATAAAATAATACAGCCACCACATCTAAGCATTGGTAAGCTGCAATATAGTACATTTTTGTATATGAGTTTAGTACTGCTTTTAAATTTTCTCTAGAGTCTGACCTCTTCCTCACAGAAAGTACAGTTGGCCTTTCTGAATGAATGGATCTCACCCTACCTTACCTCAGTTGCATACTTGCCTAAATCCAACCACCAGGTCTTCATGTCCCATGGTTGAAATCTTCCTTTCCACTGGCCACCCCTGCACAGTCAATCCCTATAGACCTCTATGGGGCCATCTCCTAATACAGGAAACACTTGGAACATGTTCCCATTGTGGTGTACTATATGGTTTAAAGGGACCCTGCCTTCAGACCATCCATGTCAAGAGAAATTCCATAAGATTACAGTATATGTGCATTTAAAAGCTACAGAAAAGGTTTTGTAGAGAGGTGAAGGTAGGGACAGGCCAGCTGGGCCAGCACAGACAGTAATTGGATGCTCCCAGAAGGGGTTAGGTATATGACATGCAACGGCTGTGCTCGGGAATTGACTAGTCAGTTTTTCTTGCAAATTCAAAGGTACATTGCAAGTGAATACATCATAAATGTCGGAAAAAAAAAAAAAATAGAATGCATTTTAAAAACTTGATTTACCTGCGCTTTTTTTTTTTTTTTTGGTTGGTGACAGGGTCTTTTAATGTTCAAGTCCTTTTTTTAATTTTCCTTTTTGCTTAGTTCGGGAAGGGGGTGGATTCTTCAGAGACAAAAAACGTACTCTAGCAGTGTGGGGTAGGGTTAGAACGTTTTGATAGTCTTTATTGCTGTTTGTACCTTCCTGCTCCGGTGCTGGCAGAGATGTTAACTCTTCCTCACTTTATTCAAAAGAAAACAATTAGCTGGAGTCAGATTGTCATTTTGCCTGGAATATACCATTGTCCTCTGTGTGCAAAATGACTGGAAGCGATATGGTATGATGCATGCACACACAGTGCCGGTGGGATAACTCTGAAGTTGGGACCATGGTCCCTGCTGTTCTCATCTCTTCTTTTAAATATAAATTATAAAGCCCATTTAATTTGCAGAGGACTGAAAATGTGTTTGCATGCATAAATGCAAGTGAGGAGTATTTTATGAAGACTGGGGCAACCTTGCATGACAACCAATCAGCTTCCAACTTTGAATTTCAAAGTTTAACTGAAGCTGATTAGTTGCATGCACAGCTGCTCCAGATCCTGTCTGCTTCAGTTTTAATCTGTTTTTATCATGGGTGTACTGATTAAATATGTTACTAGTTGCAGAAGTAGATAAAATAACTTTTTTTTATTTTTCTTTTGTTTAACCGCTTTCCCGCCTCCCTATAGCAGAAATACTGCTACAGGGTGGCTGGGCTGCGCAAAATTGAGTATGTGTGTGTGTGTGTGTATATATATATATATATATACATGATATTCCATTTTTTTGCCCTATCCATGTTGCCATTTGCGGCCTCAGCTGCCAACCACCAGGTCCCGTCCGGTGATTACCCTCCAGCACCCGGCGATCAGCACGTATCACTGAAGGGGGGGGGAGAGGTTTGTATGTAAACAATACAGATCTCTCCCCTGTCTGCTTGCTGTTTGTATTGTTCTGCATAGCAATGTGTTTACACTGTGAAACACACAAACCGCACACAGTTAACTCTTTGATTGCCCCAGATGTTAACCCATTCTTGCCCAGTGTCATTAGTACAGTGTCAGTGCTTTTTATTAGTTCTGATCACTGTATTAGTGTCACGGTGACACTAATACACGGTGACAGTTCCGCTCCCCCCCCAATTCCAGTGTATAAATACCGCAATTTGTAGACTATAACTTTCACGTAAACCAATTAGTTTACATGTATTGGAATTTTTTTTTTTTTTCTCTAAGCAAAGACGTAGCAGAATGCATTTTGGCCTTATTTTTTTATATTTTACTGGGCATATTTTAACCTCCCCTGGAGGTATTCCCAAGTGAAACTCGGCATAAAGTTTCAGCACCACAAGCGGTAACCCCGAGCTACACTCAGAAATACCCTGTAGCATTGCTCCGGGATCCCTCTTGCACTTACCTTGTCCTTCGCTCCCGCGATGTCCCCCCTGCAGCGTCTCCGGCCATGTCCTCCGGCATCTGTCTTCCAGGTTCCATTCCCTGCAACGTCAGGATGTACTGGGACGAAACTGGAGGGAAATTTACATTACTGTATCAAACCATTTCACATACAGTTGCAAGAAAAAAGTATGTGAACCCCTTGGGATTACGTGGCGTTTTGCATGAATTGGGCATAAAATGTGCTCAGAACGTCATCTAAGTCACAACAATAGAAGAACACAGTCTGCTGAACATAATACTACACAAACATTAGATGTTGCCATGGTTTAATTGCACATAACATGTAAACATTCACAGTGCAGGGAGGAAAAAGTATGTGAGGCCCTAGCTTAATGACTTCTCCCAGAGCTAATTGGAGCCAGGAGTGAGCCAACCTTGACTCCAATCAGTGTGATGATATTGGATGTGTTGCTGACAGCTGTCCTGTCCTTAAAAAAACACACACCTGTTTTGGGTTTACTGGTTTCAAGAAGCACTGTCTGATGTGAACCATGCCTCGCAGACATTTTGTCCCTAGTGCTTTAGTCCTGTGCCCTGCCCCCTGCCTGCATTTTTACTGTTCTTTCTGCTTTGAAACTGAGAAATGTCCATGGCGTCTAAAGAGCATCCCTTTAGACAGGGTGGATTTGATTTAAATCAAACTGATTTTAAATCACGATTTAAATCACTAGTCAGTAAGGCTTGATTTAAATCCTAGTTTTCTACATAAAGACTAATTCTTGCTGGTATAACTTTAATATGCAAGTAGATGAAGATTTTTAGAATAACAACTTTTCATATTAGTTTTTTTTATCCCCAGTTAAATAGGTTAATCATTCATATCTGGACAACTTTTCTGTTGTACTTAGGAAGGAGAAAAATAATCATTACCTTAATAAAAAGTTTAAATAGATTTATTCATCTGAAACAATACCATTACAGCATATGTTATTTGCTTAAACAAACATCCATGTTTGGTAACTAATTTGGCTAAACAAAATATATATATTTTAAGAAACTTAGACTGTCAGCCCCTTCCTCCTCACACTTAGTTTCACTTTCTTCTTGTGCAGATCTATTCCACTCCAAACAATCAGAAAAATATTTGTTTCTATTCTATTCACTGAACTTCTTGAAACTTAGCACTGAAGGGGTTGATTCTGTATTCATAGGTTTGTAGAAGTTGTTGTTAAGGTCTTTTTCTTAACACTGTTCATGTTATAACATTTTTGCTGTGAAGAAGAGGCATGTGAGAACTGAAAAAGTAAACCAAGCATCTGTGATAATATCTTGTAGGCAGAGAAACTGCCCAATAATCTTACAAAAACCTCCTGGAAGAGCATGACATTGTGAATGGATTAATGGAATTTATTTACCAAAAAAATTAAACATATACAGCCTTATTCTACACAATTAAAAAACTAATCTTTATTTCATGATGGAATAACCTTTTGGATGGTAATATATT